TCTCTGCCCTTCCCCTGCTCATGATCTGTCTCTCTCCCTCTCTCTCAAAAAATTAAATAAACATTTAAAAAAATTAAAAAGATTTTTTTAAACATTTATTTTTGAGAGAGAGAGACAGAGAGTGAGCTGGGGAAGGGCAGAGAGAGAGAGGGAGACACAGAATCAGAAGCAGGCTCCAGGCTCTGAGCTGTCAGCACAGAGCCCGACGCACAGCTCAAACTCACAAGCCGTGAGATCATGACCTGAACCGAAGGTGGATGCTTAACTGAGCTGCCCAGGCGCCCCTGCAAGTAACTTTTAAATTAAAAAAAAATTGTACTGCTTATTTTTTGAGAAAGAGAAAAAATGTGCATGGGGGAGGGGCAAAGAGAGAGGGAGACAGAGAACCCGAAGTAGGCTCCACACTGTCCGTGCAAAGCCCAACACGGGGCTCAAACCCATGAACCGTGAGATCATGACCTGAGCTGAAGTCGGATACTCAACTGACTGAACGAACCAGGAGGCCCGTAACTTTGGACTCCCCGAAAACCCAACTACTAAAAGCCTACTGTTGACCAGAAACCTTACCGATAACATAAGCAGTCAATTAACCCGTTTTATACCTTATATACATTATGTACTATTTTCCTACAATAGTATCACAAGGTTACGATATCATAATAACAGTCTTAGCGTAGTTAGCTGGAGAAAAGAAAATGTCACTGAGAAATTCATGGGGAGAAAATACATTCACAGGGCTGAACTGTACGTACTGAAAACAAAAATCCAGGTGTTAACTGGACCCTTGCACTCAAACCCGTGCTGTTCAAGGGTGAACCGTATGGAGATAATCTAGGCCTTTGGTTTGAAAATACTCCTTCGCCAATCTCTCACTTAGACTTAACGTTTGCTGGCTTCTCTGCGTCTGTTCCGCTTGGTCCTGCAGCTGCTCTCGGATTCGTGGCTTTTTCCAGGTGCACTGCTCCCAGAAGGTCCTTGCGGTTACTTTCATGAGTCCTTGCGTATCTGAAGTGTCCTCACTGGTCTCCTCATGGGCAACAGTCTTGATACACGGAATTCTAGGTTTTAAGTCCCGCCTCCTCCCTGCTGTCTTTTATCCAGTGTTGCTGTTGTGATTCCTTTCTTCTTAATCTGGTCTTTCGTCCCTGGAAAGCCAGTGATTTTCTCTTTATCCACAAGTTTCCTGGCATTTTACTTGACATTTCTATGTACAAGTTTTTTAAACCTTTATCCTGCTTGGCCTACAGTGAGCCCTTTAAATTTGAGGGTTTTATCTTAATCTAGTTCAGAAATATTCCAGTATTTCTTTGAAATACATCCTCCACTCTGGCTTCTGTTCTCTCCTCCTGGGACTTCTGCTCGATGAAAGCGGGGCTGCCCGACATGCTCCCCAATCTTGCGGACCTGCCCAGAGCTCCGGAGAGAACCATGTAGCGCCACGGCCCAGCCTGCCCGTGGCCCCATCCCTGCTCCGTGCCACAGGTTTCTAAGGGTGTCATTCTTCACTCAACAGTCAGCTGAGTGTCCGACTTTGGCTCAGGTCACGATCTCATGGTTCGGGGGTTTGAGCCCCATGTCAGGCTTTGCGGAGATGGCGGAGATCTTTTCCACAACTCCGTTTTTGCACTGAGGACAAGCAACACGCTATCATCTCTGGTGCGATGTATAATACACAAAACTGCCCTACTTTTAACATTCCATGTTGGTTCTGTTCCTGGAGTTTCACGTCTCTCTCACGAGGTCAAGCAGCTTGTACATTTGGTGATTCCTGGTTGCACGTTCACCTTTGTACCGAAGGTTCTCTGGTGGCCAAACCAAACGCCATTGGTTTCCGGAGTGGGTGATGGGCCCAGGGGGCTGCTCAGAAACTGGTCTCTGGGAGTGGGGGTTTCTCCTCCTCGGCGAGGCCAGACGAGAAGAGACGCCTGCTCTCCCACCTGGGGGCACATGTCACCGCCTGGCGCAAATGCAGCCAGGGCAAACAGTCTGGACGTCCCCTCTATGGTCCCAGGACCCACCCCTGCCGCCCAAGGGAGCCGAACCCGACACGGCTCTCCCTTCCCAGAGCAATTTTTCCTGAGTATACTTTGGACTCCTGTTCATCTTTTGTCTTTCTGGGTTCCCTCAACTTCTAGTCCACTGGGTGAACTCGTGCTTGTTATAGATTTATACGTTATATTTTTAAAGGCATCTCTAGGAAACTGCGAATAAAAGAGAGAGGCTGGCGAATGTCTCCAGCTTCCTTGACTGAATCAACTTCTCCTCTTACCGAATGTGTGTGTGTCCCAAAAATTCCAATCTTGAAGCTTTAACAACCCCCCCCCCCAGTGATGGCGTCACGAAGTGGGGCCTCTGGGAGGCAATTAGAGTTAGATGACGTCATCTGAGCAGGGCTCCGACCTGATGGAACTGGTGCCCTTGTAAGAAGAGACACCAGGGAGCTCTCTCCCGCGTTTTCTCCACCATGTGAGGACACAGTGAGGAGGCGGCCGTCTGAAGTCAGGAGAAGAGCTCTCACCAGAACCTGGCCGCGCTGGCATCCTGATCCGATTTCCAACATCCAGACTGTGAAAATGTCTATCGCGTAAGCCACCAGTCTACGGTATTTGGTTATGGCGGCCCAAGACGACTCAGTGGACTCAGGGAAGTGCTATAATCATCTACCAAACCAGGGAACTTTGATAATTTTTCCCCGCAAAAGACCACATATAGACTAAATTTGCCATCTGCCTTTACTGAGCAACATAATAAGTTGTTGGACAGAACCCATGATGAATATTTTAAAAATCCTTCAGGTGAAGAGGTATGTACACAAAATGAAGCCTGTAGAGCAACTCGCCACAGCCAAAGCAAAGCAGGTGAGCACCCCTCCGTGGACGTGGACAGATCCACACGGCTGACCAGGGCTCTGGGACCTCCCAGCTGGGCTCAGGGCTACCTACAAACCAACCCTAGAGTCCTGCAGGAGCTAAGTGCAGTGGTTATGGGCCTGAGTCTCAAGTGGATTCCTTGCTCAAGACACTAGGCAAGTCTCAGCGGCTCTGTGCCTCACTTTCCCCAACTGTGAAACAGGAATTAAAAATGGAACCTACCCCATAAGGTTAAGTATACTAATTCAGTGCTGTGCTAGACAGTTCCTGACACGTGCCAAGTTCAATCTACGTCTGCCCTTATTACTGTAACTCTGATTCCCGGTACACGTAGAACAAGGACACAGGCAAGAACCTGACAGAACTCCTGCAGAGTGGCAGCAGCACTAAAAAAATAAGCATATTTGGGGCGTCTGGGTGGCTCAGTCGGTTAAGCGTCGGACTTCAGCTCAGGTCATGGTCTCGCAGTCCATGAGTTCGAGCCCCGCGTCAGGCTCTGTGCTGACAGCTTGGAGCCTGGAGGCTCCTTAGGATTCTGTGTCTATCCATCCCCCCTTCTCTACCCTCCCCCACTCGTGCTCTGTCTCTGTCTCAAAAATAAATAAACATTAAATAAATGTATTAATTAAATAAACAAGTGTATTTGCGAGCGCCTGGGTGGCCTGTCAGTTAAGGGTCCAACTCTTGATTTCAGCTCAGGTCATGATCTCACGGTTCCTGAGTTCGAGCGCCTCATCAGGCTCCACGCTGACAGTGCAGAGGCTGCTTGGGATTCTTGTTTTCTCAAAATAAACAAACTTAAAAAAATAATAAGTGTATTTGTGTGTCCTTTGTGCAGAGGACCTGAATTCATCCATGAACGTATTGGCATGCTATCATGTGCTATAACTTAGAACAAGTGATGTATCTCTCAAGATGTTTCCACTGCTTACCAAATCTGATTAAGTCAACTCTGTAAACCCAACTAACTCCTAAGGGAAAAAACAAAACTGCTTCTAACTCCAAACCTCAAGTCATTATCAAATTCACAAAATCATTCCCACTGACAATTTCATTTCACCCTCAGAGACAAGCAGCTTTGTGTTGAAGGTTTCATCTTCTTCAGGCATTTTCCTAGAAAATCCAACTTGAGGAAACACCAGGTAGTGGCTTAAACCAGGAGAGTTCCTCAGTCTCAGGCAGACATCTTCTCTCTCGAAGGTGAATGGAAGGAATCAAGTCCTCTGAGGTGAACGATTGAACACCCACCCCCCTCTCCAGACCCAACACACCAGCTGCAGCC